GAGGCCTTTTATTGGCTTTTAGGTACTTATATTTAGTGGATTAATAACTATTAACCGACTACAAAATGGTGAGGTTTTTGATTTCTTTTTTTTACAATTGGATTGCTATCAAATTGCATAGTATTTCAAGCAACAACACTAGCGTGCAACGAAATATCATTGGAACAGGTACGGTGTGCCTGAATTAGAGGTCGTGTATTGGCTTTTAAGTACTTATATGTATTCAGTAGATTAATAATTATTAACCACCTTCAAAATGGTGAAGTTTTTTAATAATTTTTTTTGTACAATTGGATTGCTATCAATCTGGTCAGTATTCCAGGCAACAACAGTAGCGTGCAGCGAAATACCATTGGAACAGGTACGTTGTGCCTGAATTAGAGGCCTTTTATTGGCTTTTAGGTACTTATATTTAGTGGATTAATAACTATTAACCGACTACAAAATGGTGAGGTTTTTGATTTCTTTTTTTACAATTGGATTGCTATCAAATTGCATAGTATTTCAAGCAACAACACTAGCGTGCAACGAAATATCATTGGAACAGGTACGGTGTGCCTGATTTAGAGGCCTTGTATTGGCTTTTAAGTACTTATATTTAGTGGATTAATAACTATTAACCGACTACAAAATTGTGAGATTTTTGATTCCTTTTTTTGTACAATTGGATTGCTATCAAATTGGATAGTATTTCAAGCAACAACACTAGCGTGCAGCGAAATATCATTGGAACAGGTACTGTGCGCCTGAATTAGAGGCCTTGTATTGGCTTTTAGGTACTTATATTTAGTGGATTAATAACTATTAACCGACTACAAAATTGTGAGATTTTTGATTCCTTTTTTTGTACAATTGGATTGCTATCAAATTGGATAGTATTTCAAGCAACAACACTAGCGTGCAGCGAAATATCATTGGAACAGGTACTGTGCGCCTGAATTAGAGGCCTTGTATTGGCTTTTAGGTACTTATATTTAGTGGATTAATAACTATTAACCGACTACAAAATTGTGAGATTTTTGATTCCTTTTTTTGTACAATTGGATTGCTATCAAATTGGATAGTATTTCAAGCAACAACACTAGCGTGCAACGAAATATCATTGGAACAGGTACGGTGTGCCTGAATTAGAGGCCTTGTATTGGCTATTAGCTAGAGGTACTTATATTTAGTGGATTAATAATTATGACCCGACTTCAAAATGGTGAGGTTTTTGATCATTTTTTTTTTTACAATATCAAGCTGGGCAGTATTCCAATTGTAACGCGCACGTGACACCCCTGGTGCCTGAGGCGTCCATAGGCTATGGTAATTATTTACCATCAGATGGGCCGTATGCTCGTTTGCCAGCATCGTAGTACAAAAAAATTTCAGGCAGCATACTAACGTGCGGCGAAATATTATTGAAACAAGTGCGATGTGCCTTGTATACGGCTGAACATGTAGGACAAACAGAGGTGCCTGTTCAGATGACTCTATACAAAGAATGTAATTAAGAGTTTAATTGGCCTACTACCAAGCTGGCCAAACCGTTTGGCATAGTGTTTTATATCAAGTTGTTGTTTTCAATTAATTTCAATTGTAATTACCGTTTGTTTTAGAAATCACGTCTTACGAGTTACTGGACACGATTATTGAAGATCGGTGTTATATAAGATGTGTGTAAAAACGGAACAATAATTTAATCAAATAATTACTTACAAATAAACCGTACTAAAAGGAATTAGTTACATAGATACATACAAAAATTAATTTGTTCTAAATGACGCAAACCATGTAAGGATCTTTAAGAACCAGAATCGTACTTACATGTATACTCATTCGAAATTTGAAAATTAAAATACGAACTCTATCAATTCTTGACTGAAAACATACATTCTCGAGTCGTACTTACATGTGTACTCAATTCGAAATTTCAAAATACAAACTCTATCGATACTTAAATAAAGACATGTATTCCCTAGTCGTACTTGCATGTGTACCCGATTCGAAATTCGAAATTTCAAAATACGAACCCGATCGACTCTTGACTAGAAACATTAATAACAGTCATATCTAGTATTCTCATATTCGTAACTCGCATTATTGTAATTTGATTCAAACATTCGAACGCCAAAATTAATATACATTCGAAATAAACGAAGTCTGTTTATCTGACCTCCTTCGCCACGAGTTGATGAATAAATAAATATGGACCAATTAAGCTCGAAAGCGGTGCCGTTAATTGGAGTCAGCACTTGTTTTATAATTGTCCAATTTATTCTCCATATTCTATTTTTGAAAATATATGAATTAATTATTAAGAATATTGTTTCTTATCAATCAATTAATTGGAACTACTTACAAAAGATTAATAACTTTCTTTTGTATTAAAATATGTATAAGATCAAATATAGATTATATTGATCTTATATATATTTTAATACTACTAAAACAAAACTAGTTAGCAATAGCACAGTTAATATAATATGGCAATAGTAATTAAATAAATAAATTAAATGGCTGAATTGAAAACTCTTAATTATAAACAATCTTAATTATTCAAGTTCAGTTTTAGTACACAAAAACATCGTTGATATGAGAATGTTAACTTTTATATAGAGTGTAACAATATATACATAGCTTGAAAAACGAGTAAGTGGTTGGAAATAATCAATTATTATATAAATTTTTACCACAAGACAAATCACACAGCGCCATCTAGTTCCAACTAATCAGTTTGTATTATTACTACTATTACATACTACACAATTTATAACAATACTCAAACACATTTTTTTTATATTTACCAAACATACATAGAAAACAGACTTATACTCATTATTTTATAAATATTGTAAATTTACAGTGCCGTAAAAAGTGCAGTAAAATTTTTATATATTATACTTTTAAAAGTATAATATATAAAAATTTTATCTATCTATCTAAACAAAATATAGATACAAGAAAATAATACAATAATATACAACATAGTACAGCTTGGAATGAATACAAATTCCTTGAAAGTTGTAGCGTGTGAGTCGCAGCATTAACAACAATTACGATAACACCCCGTTGTTATATGTATGTATTGGTAGGACGCAATTTACGACTTCATTATTCGCTGTTAGAGCTCGAAAACTTGTCGGTATTGCATGAAATTATTGATGTTAAGTATTCTAGTTTATATACTTCCTAAATGTAGTCGTGTAGGTCATATTTTTACATATAATAACATATATATATAGATATGGTTATCTACAGAACATAAATAAACACATTTACATACACAAAAAATGAAACATGAGTAATTAATAACCTACGGGTGATCATAAGGTCCTAAATGAATGAATAAAAATAAATACATGAGTAAGTAATGAATATATGTAATTATATGTATTAAATTATTAATGGAATTTAAATAATTACTATTATATGTAAAGTGATGTTATTAGAACATTCAAGTGTAGTATTACACATAATATAATAATAATAATATCTCAGGACAATTCACATAGCGCCATCTAGTCCCAAGCTAAGCAGAGCTTGTGTTATGGGTACTAGACAACTGATATAAATACATGGATACTTTTTTTTTTGTAAATAAATACATATTATACATAGAAAACACCCAGACCGATTCAAACAATCATACTCACGAATACAAATGTTTGTATCGTGCGAGGAATCGAACCCACGACCATCGGATAGTAAAGCGGTGTGCTAAACCACTAGACCATCGAGGCTGTCGTACCACGACATAAATTTCGTGTTTCGTGTGTAGTGAACACATAAAATTAATTATCATTATATGTACATTGTTACATATAACAACAACAAATTATATGTAATTTTATATCCTTCCTAATTCGTTTTTATTTAGATCTCTATGCAAGCAGTACTTATACAAATTATTCAGAAATATTCTATAATGTACCTATAATCATTATTTTATATTATTTTAGGCACGTAAAGTTTACTATTAAGTTTTCACCATCAAAACAAAAAATACAATTTCAACAATATAATACAGTTACAAAAGCAGTATACAAATAAAAATCCTACAGAAATATCCAATTATGGTCAATTTTCTTTGAAAATTCAAACTATTATGCATTATTTACTTTCCATATTTCGTTTTCAGTGAACACCTAAAATTAATTATCTTTATATGTACCTATTTACATATAACAATAACAAATTATATGTAATTTTATTACCTTCTCTACACAAGCAGTTCTTAAACAAATAAATTAAATCTTTCGACAATATAATATTACTGTTTTACTTAAGGCTGCCACAACAGCAGTTTACAAATAATAATCATTGCGAAATATCCAATACTGTTCAATTATCTTTGAGAATTAAAATGGAAATGATAGCGAACACTTTCCTTGAAAAGAAAACCGAAACTCAATTGGTGTAACGTTTCAAAGCAATTTTGCTTTCTTCAATTTCCCTTTCAAGCTGAGCTGTCCGTGTATATACTGACAGGATGGAGGATTCAGTGGCTAAATATCATTTGCTAGCGATATCAAGTGCTTTCATTAGGGGTTGTTTTACCCAAGCAATTATTTTTTAAGTATCTGATGTAAGGGTCGAACCCTTGGGTCTTTACTATGATAAGATTATAATGATGTAAATGTATTATATGTCAATTTACCTATTTATATCAATTGTCTAGTACCTATAACACAAGCTCTGCTTGGCTTGGTACTAGATGGGGCTGTGTAAATCGTCCTGAGAAAAAAATTATTATCATCCCCTTGATATAAGAGAATGATTGGTGATTTTACTTCAAATGGTCGCGGATTCGATTCCTCATAAAGTACAAACATTTATATTCACAGCTATGATTATCATCCTGGGTGTTATCTATGTATATTAGGTATTGCGTATTTACAAAAAAATGTTTATCTATTACTAATCTAGTATCTATATTACAAGGTACGCATAGTTTGAGACCAGAAGGGTCTATATAGGTACTCACATAGTATTAAAAAATATTTATTATTGCTTACCTCTGTCCCCTGGACCTTCAGCTTCATGTGGTCCTCTCTGGTAGTCTTGCCATCTTTCCTCTTCTTCCAGCAGTATCCATCTCGTCGGTACCTGACTTTCTTGCGGCTGTATAGCAGCATTGACCCGCTTTTTGGCCTGGAACAATAAAATATGTTCACTGTTAGTTTACATATATGTATCATATAGCTTATAATATGTAGCATACAATTTTGTACTAATACATATGTGAGAAGATTTTTTTATACCATGACGGTGATAAGCAAACATACAGCCAAAACCATTTGATGGTAAACGGTTACCGTAGCCTATGACACTGAATCACCAGGGGTGTCACATGCGCGTTGCAAAACCTTAGGAAATCTATACCCTTCTTGTATCTTATGATGTAATCTCCAGAGAAAACCTCGGCAGGTAGTTTATTCCACGATCTAAGTGTACGCGGAAGTAAGCTCCTCTGTAACCGTACTATCAGAGATGCCTTAGGTTCTAGCATGTGGCGATGAATTCTCTATCGATAGGATGGTCCAATGTTAAAAGGCAACTGCAAATTCCGAAGAATTGTTCGACAATATCATGTCGGATTCTTCAGAATTTACTTGAACGCTCTAGGCTCAGGAACTCCTGAATCTGAAAGTAAAGAATATATCAATTCGTTCGTACTGATATATTCTTTTGATGTTAGAAATTTGCATATCATTGCAATGGGCTCCATAGTTTAAAGAATCTAAATATATATAACTCAAAGGTGACTGACGTAGTGATCTATCAACGCACAGCCCAAACCACTGGACGGATCGGGCTGAAATTTGGCATGCAAGTAGATGTTATGACGTAGGCATCCGCTCAGAAAGGATTTTTATTAATTCTAGCACCAAGGGGATAAAATTTATTTTAGAAAAATAAAGTTAAATTCTACGCGGACGAAGGCGCGGGAACAGTTAGTTTAAAATATTAGTGTAATTTTTACATGCCAGAAACGGCAGGGCATGTTTGGAATAATTATAATTTTAACACCATCATTGTCCATGTTTTAGTAACTAAATTTAATTGAATTGACTTCATATACATTACACAAGTTTAATAAGTGTTAACGTTACAATTAAGATAATGTTGCCACTTAAAACATTCACAATCTCGAATTGTAAATTCGAAAATCTAATAAGATAATTTTACGAGCCCCCGAGAAATGCTGAGTCGGCTAAAATCATTTGAATTATGATAGATACGGCCAGGAAGTCTGGATTTATTGCAAAGTTGTAAAACCAGCGTCGTCTGACCGGGTTTATGACCGAATTATCTTGGCCGCTTGTAAATAAAGCCGTGTTCACAATAACGTATTAATAATACATATCGGAATATCGGTAAATTTGTGTATTGGTATTTAATTACATATCGATATATCGGTATTCGATAAACATGAGTATTGGCATTTCAATAAAATAATATATTACCATTACCTGTGACTTCGTCTGCTTTTTAAATATTGTGTAGTCTATGTACTATATTGCGTTACTGTCTACCTTTCCATTAAATTTAATTGAGATCATTTCCGCTATTTAGTTGTATAAAAACAACAAAACATATATACATATACATAGACTCTTCTATTTATAATACAAAAATGAAGTAATTTATTAGGAGTAAATACTATAATAGGTAACTTGAACAGCTCAATAAAGTTTGATAAATTATTATATAGTGATAAACTAGATCTTGGGAGCAAATTAAAAAATTAAAGTTTGTGTGAGGAACCTATATTTTCTCACGTATGATGTACATATGTATATGAGTAGATTTTAAGTTTTTTTTTTATTGTAAACATTACTTACTATATATAATATTATATTACATTATAACATGTTATATGTTATATTATATTATATATTTTATATTACGTGCCAGCATAATGAACTTCCATAAAGAAGTTACGACGCAAACAGTCAATTACTCGAATGCACTGTCCCTAAATATAACAAAGTTATACATATAAAAAACTACGCTCCACAGATTACAAATGGAGCACAGAATCTTGAAAGTGTCGCAATAATTTCTGTCATACACAATAACACTAAAATGAACAATGCCCCTCGGGAATATTACAATGTTACATATTACATTGTAACGCCCAGTGTGGACGTGGCCCAATACCGATTTACAACATGGGTTTCACAGTAAAGTATCACTGAATATGTAAAAGCGTATTAGAAAGTCATGACCAGGCTTTGGCCGGGATCAAATCAAATCTGAAACAGCAGAAATAATAAAATATGGTTGCTTATATTTCATATACGTCTGATTATTTTGAAAGTCACATTTCTGATGTAAAACGGCAGCGCAAAATAATATTCATCAATAGAATAAAAATCCATCAACCATATCCGTCTTTTCCATCAACCAGTATCCTATCGCGTATGCTTAGATTGTGGAATGAACTACTTATTTACCTGTAACCATTTACCATCAGATAGGGCGAAAGCTTGTTTGCCACCAACGTAGAATAAAAAAAATTTAGGAAGTTTTTCAACACTATATTATAAGAAGAAATATTGTTCTTTAGTAAATACACTAAGGAACAATATTGTCCTTATAATATAGTGTTGAAAATTGTCTTTGAATTCAAAACAGATTTTATTGCCTTTTTAATTAAAGTCGAAACCCGTTAGCCCCCACTTATCAAAGTCTAAAGTCTTGATATTCAGATTTCCGCTGAACTTAGTATATTATGTATGGATTTATAATAGATTTCCGTTTGACTAAACTATATTATGTACGGATTGATAGCAAAAAAAAATCAAGTATTCATACAATTGTTTAGTATAGTATAGAAATAGAAATAAATTTATTAAAATAAACTCATTAAAAGCACTTTTGAATAGTCATATTTTTGATTCTACCATTCATTCGAAACACAGATTCATCACAAGAAGAATGAGCAAGAAACTGGTGTGTTGTTTTATTACATGACTTCTTATGTCCTGTTAACTACATAAATAATAATAATAATAATAATTTCCTCAATAATATCTTCACACAGTACAACCTCTCCCACACTTGGCTAAATTCCGTGTTCCTTCTTTTACAAATTTAAAAGAAGGTAATACTGACCGTATTACCTTCTTTTAAATTTGTAAAAGAAGAGACAGAAAAGATAAAAATAATAATTTAGTTTAAAGAATAATAATAATCTTTATTCATAAATGGACGGTACAATTAAACATAGTTAGCCCTGGCTTTCGATATAGGTGTACCTGTGCCACGAAAGCCAGTTCCCTCCAATATTCTGTAAACATTACTTATTAGGTAACTCTACATAGTTCTGAAGGCATATTTTTCGTTGCATTTTTATTTGTATATACAATAAGCCCACGATCTGGTAAATCCCATATATTGCGAACGTCATGACCACACGTTATATTGGACGGAAAAAGGACAAAAACCAGATTCATGGTGTTTGTTGGACTAATAAATCGGGTATTCGATACATAAATCCACGAGATCTGTGTTAGTGCAGATTTTTTTGTTTAAAATCGCGATCTATCCATCAACAGGGCTTACGATTGGTACGTCCAAAACTTTTAAATTTACATACCGAGATTGTAAAAAGTCGTATTATATATTTCAGCCGATAAGCAGCTTGCTTTGGAAACTGTTTTACTTTTTATACTACGACCAGCAGATCCGGCCACGCTTTGATGTGGCTGAGGTTCTTGAATAAAATAATATTACGACTATAAATTGAGATGTATCCTATCTTTCAAGTTGGATCAAATTGCTCACAATGTGCAAATTTAATTTGCAATTGGTTCAGTAGTTTAGGAGTCCACCGTGGACAAACAACGTGACACGTAATTTTTATATGTAATTTGCTATCCACTCTTTGCACGGGTGTACATCTATTATACATATAAAGCTTGCTCTTGAACCATTCTATTAAAAAAACCGTTGCAAAATCTGTTGCGTAGTTTTAAATATTTAAGCATACATAGGGACGGACAGACAACGACAGCGACTTTGTTTTATACTATGTAATGAAGATGGTGGCAAACAAGCATATGAGCCATCTGATGGTAAACGATTACCACAGCACAGTTAACTGTTTCGGTTGATGAGTAAGATAAGGTTATCTACTGATAGTAATCGAAAAATAACAATAAATAAATCTTTATACAACGCCATCTATTAATTTTCTTATAAATTAATTAATAATTAGCCTATTTCAGCCATCACCCTTACTTTGTAAGCTGTGCTTTAGTCTGCACTAGGATGTGCAATTTAAAACAAGTTAAGCTTGACATCTTAGTCTTCAGAAATGGTAACGCATGAATTACGACGAACGAAACGAAAATGAATTACATACGAAGTATATTATACTTCAAGTATATTATACTTGAACAGTATACTTAATATAATATTAATGAGTAAAAACTTATAGAGAGTTTCTTGCAAGTTTTTCTCAACTTCAGTATCTATATATCTTCTCTATAAATTTTAATCAACATAGTTTAGAATACTAACTTATAGACAATATATAAACATATAATGTTAGCATAGATTATTATAATAATAATTTTAAAAAAATGAACTTATATCATAAAAATGATAGATATACAATATACAAAAATGTGAGCAAAGGGTTGCCACAAAAACAGATTTCTTCCAACCTAATGCTGTGATAGAGGTGATAGTTAGAGGGCAACGATAGAGCACGAGTTTTAGTAATAACAAGATTGTAAATAGAAACATACATACACTTATATTAGATTCAGTTATATTATTACATAGTCATTATCGCTACATAGTATAACACAAAGTCGCTGTCGCTGTCTGTCCCTATGTATGCTTAAATCTTTAAAACTACGTAACGGATTTTGAAGCGGTTTTTTTTATAGATAGAGTGATTCAAGAGGAAGGTTTATATATATAATACAAGTACACCCGTGCGAAGGGTGAGTAACTAGTTACAATTTAAACCAAAACACAGCTTAGAAATAAAGCAGTTTAAAGACCAAGATAGGTGAATCAGAGGTACCCAAACAGAAGATATTGTAAATTCAAACTCAGTAAACATTTGACTTCACTAGAAATATTCTCTAAATAATTACTCGGCGTAAAAGCCCCT